AACTCTCTTCATGTCTGGTGGATATAAATGAAAACATCTGAATATTAGGATGAACAGATTTCATTTTCTCCTCTGAATCAGACAGTATGCCCAATTAGCAGCCTTCATTTCTGTAAGTCTATCAATTCATTTGAAGAGGCAGCGACTTATCCTCACATTTTCTCGTAGCTTTTATTTGCTTCATCCAGTAAATATGATTTCCCATGGATTGGTGAGCTGCATGGCAACGGATGTTCAGAAATCTGCACAAAGCTAGTAAACAAACCGTTTGGTAAATGCTGCACATGTTTTTTGTGACTATGCAAATTTTGCTAAAATGATGCTCACTTGTGTGCACTGAACGGACGACAACAGTACGATTTTTAGTTTAAAAATCTGGATTATGACAGTTTGATGAGCTTTTTAGGACCACAGAAAACTGCACAAGTTTGATTAAGATATTTCCATAACAGGAACAAAAAAGCTATGGACATTATGATATTTTATCATTAAAGTGCAGTCATTTCATGCTGCAGAAACACACGACTAAGCAGGATTTTTGCTTTTTTGGGGGCGGGGGAGGAGGACAGGAGGCTCTGCAGTGTCCCTGGTTTCACTCATTTTTTTTTTTTTTTTTCTAGAAGTGTTGACAAAAAGGCCTAATGGCTGCATGACTCAGGTTTTTTTTCTCAGACATGGCTTCCTGTATCAGGACACCTGCTCAAGCTGCTGTGGAAGGACAGACAAAGGAGCATGCGAGAAAAATTTAAAAATATATGTATTCCAATATATTTTTATATTTTAAAAAGTAATTGGTCACAATGCAGGTTTGATTGTTTTGTTTCACTTTAGAGTAGCTCAGAGCAGGGGGGGTCTGAAGGAAAAAGTCTAAAAGGTTGAATCCAGCATCTGTGGGGTCTGCAGGGCAGTTAGCTGCCCCTTTTTGGACTCCAAGCATGTTTAAGTTCTGGATGGAGGGAAGGTAAGTCCTGATGATCCTCTCTACAAACTGAACCACAGAATGATGGACGAACACCAGGCTGCAGCTAACGATGATTTAGGAATTAATTATTCTAACAATTAATCGATTAATACCGCATTCTGCAGAATGTTTTGGTCACCACATAGAAGTACATGAGGAAATGCAAATAAATAATTAAATTCCTATTTTTTAGAGATCGTTTATAGGAAAGGATGCGTCTGCAGCTAAAACATATTTCTAACATCAATATGTGAAAAGCTCAGCACTTCCTACTTGACTTAAAATCAATACAATGTAAGGCTGATCTGCAAAATTGACTTAGTAGATTTTTTAATATCTACTAATAGATATTAATAGGTGAAGGAAGAGCGAGGCTACTTGAGGAGTTCTATTTAAAACATACTTATAGATAAAGGATTTTTTAATCCTAAATAGATTTTTAATAAAAAAGAATGTCAGCCTACTGCAGTGTATGGACTCAATACTTGGTTCATCCTCCTTTTACATACATTACTGCATGAATGAAGCTCGGCATGGAGGAGATCTGTTCTTCTGCTGAGCTGTTAAGAAAGACTTTCAGCTGGTGTGCATCGTTGGGTCTGGTGTTCAGCTTGATGGTACTCCACAGATTCTATGTGGAGTTTAGGCCAGGTGAATTTGCTGGCAAAACAGACGAAACCAGAATCATTGAACCAGATTTTGATGTTTTGTTTTGGGTTTTTTTGGTTGCATTTATTTATTTATTTTTTTTTGTAGAACAAGTCTTACAGTAAATGAAATCAGGATGTCCGTAAAGCAGAAGGAAGTATGGAGTACTGTAAGGCTTCCTGGTAGACGGCATTCTTCTCGATCAAATACAGTAGACCAACATTAGCAGAAAAACATGGCTTCCTAAATCGCCACCGACTGTGGAAACGTCACGTTGAACCTTAAGCAGCTTGGATTCTGTTCCTCTCCACACTTCCTTCAGTTACTGGGATCTTGACTTAAAACTAAAAGAAACTTTTACTCTCATCTGAGAAGGACTTCTGGTCCACCGAGGAAGAGTCAAGTCCTCTTTCCTTCAGTCCAGATAAGATGCCTTGGACCAGGAATCAGACGGGTTGGAGGACACATCTCCCTCCAACTGCAGTCTTTTTGAATTTCCTCCAAACTCTTGAGAAAAACAAAGCTGTTCTCCCTAATGTTTGAGTCCCTTCTTCTGCCACACTTGAATTATTAAGTAGTACTTTGTGAACATCAAACTTCTTCATTAATGTCCTTTTGTGGCTAACGATCGCTCTTTTTTTTTGCCAGTCATGACATTAGTGGAACCTGCTCCCGACCAGTTAACCCACTACTGCAGACCCAGGACTCTGTCTGGACTTTAAGACATTCTGAATTAAAGAAATTTTAATAACTAGCAGCGTTGCGACTACATTCTTTCAGTTTTCTTGTCGCGATTTCTCATTCACTTCTGTTTTATTCTTGCTGTAAAGCACTTTGGCTATATTTGTAAAATATTATATAAATAACAGTTTGTTGATGATATGACCATCTGCTAGACCGCTATCAGGTCAGCAGTCTTAAGGCCAGATTAGAATCATATTTCTTTATTATTAAAAGCAGCTTTTAAAATGATTGTTCTCATGCAATACTCTAGACACTGTTAGTCATAATGATTTAGATCAACAGAAACAAACAACTAGGACTATTATAATGGATCGATGCCACACCCCTTTTTGGCATCAATTGCTGAAACACATGAACTTTGTGACGTTACCAAAACGACGACGCACCTGTACGTTTCAGTCTGTAAAGCCTGAACAGGACCGTCAGCCATATCTGAAACACAAGGCCCCGTCACTCCCCTGCTCCCCCTCTTGCATAACTGCTCTCTGATTGCAAATACTCGACGTGTGAAGCTTAAAAAAAACCCCAAACAAACAAACAAAACAAAAAAAAACACCTGAATCCGTCCGACCTGGGATGCAAAAGGGGGCAAAGAAATGAACCCACGCACCACGCAGAGAGAGGAGAGCGCGCGCAGTGCACGCCGAGGCGAGCGCCTCATAAAATGGACCCCGGAACCTTCTGCTGCTGCTCTGCTGGCGCTGTCCGCTTCAGCACCGCGCCAACGCACGCGCGCCAAACACGTGAGGGGCGCGCGTGAGTGCGTAAACGCGGCGTGCTTTCAGGGAGGAGAGCGGGCCGAACCAGATTGAATTAAAGTACACGACTTACGCTTCCCAAAGCATCAACTCTGCAAGGCTGAGGTTTTTACCCTTGAATTCAAGCCGAGTTCCGAGCTCAGGGTTTTACGTCCGATCGCAGCGCGGCCGCGTTTTCGCCGATACCGCATTGAAGAAAGTGTGTGCTGAAGACAGAAGGTGGGCCTCGGGTCGCCGTCGTCTGTCATCAACGCCAAATATTTCATCGAGCAGGAAAAAGTCCTGGAGATGACGCTGCGCAAAGAAGCGGCCCGCTCCAACCGAAGCGGCGCTGCTGCAGTGGGTGGTTTGTATGTTGCAAATGTCACGCCTGGAGACAGACCTCCTATCCCCCCACCACCACCAACACCCCCTATTAACAAAAAATAAATAAATCACTCCCAACAAACACAAGCCCGGAGATAACGCGGTGGTGAAATGCATCACATGCGATGTTGTCGGTACATTCTGTGCGTTTTTGCGCGCAGAGCGTCTGCACCACACCCGAGGAGCCATGTCGACTGCCAAATCAATAGGCGTCTGTGTGTGTGCGCAAAAAAGAAGAAAAAGAAGAAGAAGAAAAAAACACAGCGCGGAGAGTTAAAGCAAAACGAGGGGAGAGATAAAAAATAAAGCAGTATGAAAGAATAAAGACATCGCTTTAGATCAGCGGAGGACGCCACGCTCAGATCACCTGGAGGACCGGGCATTTCTTCGCCTTCATGGCTATACTTACACATCCTTCCTCTCAGAGCCTTCTGCTTTAATGCACCGTCCTGGACTCTCAAGAGAAAATTGCAGATTTCCAATGCAGGCTGCGCCCCGAACCAAACCAAACCTCACTTAGATTTTTTTGGTTTTTGTTGCTTGTATCAAACTGTTCGACGGGTTCCAGCGTTTACGCACGATCCACACCAAATGAGACATAAATAGAAATCTTCCCTTCGCTGTGATCCAGATGACAGATTTTGTCAGAAAGGCGCTGACACCCTTTTCCTTCCAGCTCCAAAAAAAACAAAAACCCAAAAAACAATATAAATATATAAAAAGAGAAGACGCGGAGCAGCGAGCGGCGCTGCGACATTCAGCCCACTGAAGGAACGACAACAACAAAAAGAAGAAAAAAAAATGAGAGAAAAAAAAGAGAAAAAAAACCCACCTTCAGCCACGATGCATCCCGAACCCCGCTGGAAATGTGAACGATACTCACTCATGCGACGGTGAATCCGGTGAATCGGCGCAGGGCTGCAGATGTGGGGAAAGGTTGAGGAGAAACTGCGGCTGTCGCCATATTGTTGCTGCTGTCTTCCCCCCACCAGCAGCACCACCACCACCAGCAGCACCACCAGCACCAGCAGCAGCACCTCAACGCGAGCAGCAGCTTCCCTGCATAATTGATGACTCTCTGTAGGATGTGAGGGAGGGAACAGGAACCCTAAAGGTCACTCAGGCCTGCAGCTCCTGCAAAAAAAAATAATAATAAAAAAATTGATTATCCCGATAAGGGCTTTTTTTTTTTTAGTATCGATCTGACTGAAATTTATCGTTTCTTGAACTTCCGGTTTCACGGCAGGCAACATGCATGATGGGGAATAAATAAATAAATAAATAAAAGCATATTTTATACATGATAAATCACATTGAATGTAATTCAGGTTCATACAAGGGCATAAAACAAACAAAAAAAAAAGAAAAGAAAAAAAACTCAGTAAACTTCGTGTTTGTTTGAACAAATGTCAGCCGAGCGAAACTTTTTCCACTTCTAACGCGGCGCAGAACGAGTTTAAGAGTTCACCAATCAGTTTAAAGCGACCGTGACGTCACTGGAAGAATTGTTTTGGAACAGTTGACATCTTTTTATATAATTGAAAAAAAAAACGGAAAAACTGTTGATGGGTCTAAAGATTTTACTGCCGTTTTTGAGCGTCTTGTGTTTGGCCGCAGCCGCTTCAGATCAGAGTAAGTGAAAGACGGGTTGGAAGGTTATGTGGTTAAAGGCTTATCTTTAAAAAAAAGAGAGAGAGGAAGAAGCAGTCCAGAGTTATGTTCCTGAGTTGTTAATTGGGACAGGATCCCAAATAACAGCTCAGTTCTATACACACATCTTTCAGACAGTTGTGTATATTTTTTAGGACGCCCCCCCCCCCAAAAAAAAATATAAAAACCTGTAATTTTACCTCATGAGGTCTGTAGGGAAGGGGAGGCAAAAATTAACCTCAGGAAATATTTACTGTTTCACATTGATCTGAGTTATTGGGAACATCTCATTAGTAATCCATGTGTTTTTTTTTTCTCGGGGTATAAATGTCAAACAGAGTGAACTACTTTTAAATTCCTGGCAGCACAAATTCCCAAGTTTACGTGGGTATGACACATAATAATAATTTGTTAATAATAATAATTAAAATACTGATAATGACACAGTTGCTCACTGTTAGAAAATAGCAGAAGATAAAAGCCTGTTGGGTCACCAAGTCTCCATAGCAACCGTTCTACATGTCAACTGTTTTTATTTATATGTTTGGGAGGAAATTTTCTGACCTTCCAGCAAATATAAGTATGAACAGTGAGATCAATTTCCCCCAGAAAACTTGCTAAGCCCGGTGGCTGGGAGTCAGGGCAGTCATTCATCCAGCAGCCCGTCGCGTTTTTGAGTTAAAAAAGGTTTAAAGTTGACGAGAAACTTTGGAAATATCACTTGATAATCAAGATTAATACCTGAACACCAACTATAAAGTCTTAAAAAATGCAGACGTTTAAAAAGACTTAAGGAGCTAAGCAATGTTTAGCCTGGTGGGGGGCACAAGTAAAGCCTGGTGGCCCGCCAGGCTGGGAAAACCCTGGACGTTAGATGTGTGTGTGTGTGTGTGTGTGTGTGTGTGTGTGTGTGTGTGTGTGTGTGTGTGTGTGTGTGTGTGTGTGTGTGTGTGTGCGTGTGTGTGTGCGTGCGTGTGTGTGTGGGTGTGTGTGTGTGTGTGTGTGTGTGTGTGTGTGTGTGTGTGTGTGTGTGTGTGTGTGTGTGCGTGTTGTAGTGTGTGTGCTCACTGGTAAGTTTTGGTGGAGGAGCAGTGATTGTTTGGGGTTTTTTTCACAGTAATGTCTGATGAAAGAGGATTGTGTAAGACTTGAAGCCCAGCATATTTATTCAAAAAAACATAGTGCACTTTAGCAGAAAACTGAAAAGAATGGATCAACACCGGGCGACTTTCAGCGGCATATTGATCCAGAACATTTTTCCAAGACAAAATGAACATGGCCCATCTGGGTCCTCCGACCTGAATCCTGTAGAAAACCTGTCGAAGGAAGAGAGCATAAGACAGGATCCCAATTAACAACTCAATTTGATTTTCAGTTTGAAACTGAAATAATTTACGATTTAGTTTACTTTCAGAAAATACTCTAGACTGTGCACTTCCTTCAAGCATTGTGGGACATTGTGGACGAGTCACCCTGTACTTCACAGCTAAGAAGATTTTCTCAGGCTTGCAAGTTTCTCCTTTTTTTTTCCTCCAGAGGCAATAACGAAAGGCCCTGAAAATGACATGGCTCTGAAAATGAAGGCGTTTGCCACTGAATGCACTTGCAAACAGTAATCTGGCTTTTCATGTAGCTTTTGGATGGCTTCTTCCTCACTGGCTGACCTTTCAGTAAATATTTGGATATTTCAGCAGAGTATTTGGATAAAGACGTTATCTTGCCAGCTTGAGCATCTTCACAAGACATTTTGCTTTTGTTCTGTGGTTAAGTCCCACATTCAAAAACTTATGTCAAACTTTTACCAACACCTCATCGAAACATGACATGGTTTTTATTTTCATGCAGAAGCTTTTTATGATTATTATTATTGTTTTGTTGGCCAGGATGTGGGAAGCGGAAACTGGCAGCGCCGCCTGGGGCATCCCGGATAATCGGTGGCCGAGATGCCACTGAGGGAGCGTGGCCCTGGCAGGCCAGCATCCAGTTCCTGGGCACGCACTTCTGTGGAGGAACCATCGTCGGCAGCAAGTGGGTTGTCTCTGCAGCGCACTGCTACCACAGATACATGTGAGTCCAACTAAATCTCACTCAGTCTTCAGAGAATACAAAGTGGTAGAGAAAAAAAAAACAAGCACACAGTTCGCTGCGACGAAGCGAGACCGCGAAACCAAGCTCGCTTTGACGCGGCGTCTTTGTCAACGTCATCAGGAGAGAGTTGGATTGATTTGGTTTTCTGTTCAGATGGCACAGCAGCTTCTTGACCGTCTTGGTGGGAGTGACAAGCCTGTCCAAGCCTGGGCCTCACTTCCAGAGACGCGGCGTCAAACGCGTCATCGTACACGAGAAGTACGACTTCAACACATCCAACAACGACGTGGCGCTCCTGGTGCTCAAGGTCCCCATCGTCTTTACCAACTACGTCCAGCCGTGTTGCTTTCCGACGAGCATGAACCACCAGCTCTCCCTCAACCTGAGCAACTGCTTCATCACCGGCTGGGGCAGCATCAACTACAAAGGTTGGTATCATGGCAATCCTTTCACCAGGTGTGCGGAAAAGCATCAATTTATGATAAAATATGACCTTAGAAGTTTTTGTTCATATTTTTACAATTAGACAGCCTCTTACTGATATGTGGAGCGGCTGAATTTTTGAAGTGTATCCCTTTTGATTGCTTTTATTGAGCTTTCATGATCATATTTGACTTATATTGGCAAAAATTAAATGACACCAAAACCCATTAATGTCAAAGTTAGAACAAATTCCTACAAAAAGAGACTATTAAATAAAAAATAGGTAATATGAAATTAGTGACTTAATAAAATGGTAATTAGTAGATGTAGTTTCCACCTGCAAGAGAACAATTGATGTCCGGCAAGACAACGACCCAAAGCATCCAGCTAAAGCTGCACAGAGACGGTTTAAAGAGTCTGATGGTCTGGAGTGGCCCAGTCAAAGACTCAACCTCAATCTGATGGGGAGTTTGTGGCTTACTTGGAAAGAGAGAGCTGCTCACGTGATTTCCACGCAACGTGACCGAGCTCGAAGAGTTCAGCAAGAAACAAACGAGTAAAATTTCAGTGTTCAGATGAGACCCGTCCACGCAGCGCTTACTAAATACTCTACTAAATACTGACTTGAAAGAGCTGAATATTTGTGCAGTCGCTTATTTCATGTTGATTAGCTCGGTTGCTTTGCTCGTGCTTCTGGCAGGTGGAGCAGCGGACATGCTGCAGGAGGCTGAGCTGGAGGTCATTGAGACGGACAGGTGCAACCAGAAGCACTGGTACAACGGCTTGATCACAGAACAGATGCTCTGTGCAGGAACACTCTCTGGAGGAGTTGACACTTGTCAGGTTGGGTGATCATTTTACATTTTTGGATGTTTCTAAGCTGCTCGGTTACTCAAGAGTAACACCCTGGTGCAGGGCGACAGCGGAAGCCCACTGCAGTGCTACAGTGAGAATGACAACAGATACTACCTGATAGGAGTGACGAGCTTCGGGGAGAATTGTGGACACCCCAACAGACCAGGAGTCTATTCGAAAACCAGCATGTATGGACGGTGGTTTACCGAAAAGCAGCTGAAAGACAGAGCTTCTCCACACGTGCTCTCCAGCAGGCTGATACTAGTTCTGATATTTGCTGCCTTCACATTGTTCTGAGATGTTCGCTCTTTTTTTGTTGTTGTTGCAAAAGACAGAATCACTAAACCGCTATGCAAATATAATCTGCGCGAGCTGTCTTTATTGTACAAATGTTTGAAAACGTTTCAATATTTTTTGGGGGGGCTTAATTTATAATTTGCAGTCGATTTAGATGGTCGCTCGCCCCACATGCTTTTTTGCAAAGCAATAACGATAAAAAAAAATTGCTTTTTTTAACTAAAATGTTTACAAAAAATTCCTTTAATGTCAAGGTGAAAACTGATTTCGAGAAAAAAAAAAAGAAAAAAAAGTTGCGTCATGAAATAGTTGATTGCATACATATTCACTCCTTTCAAGTCATTATTTAGCAGATGCACCATTGGGTGCAATCACAGCTCTCAATCAGGATTGCACATTTCATTTTCATGTTATGTGATAGACAAGCTGAAAATAGCACATAATTTATACAGACAGAAAAAAAAACATGCATTTTCCCCATATATACGTCTATATAATGTTTAATATGTGTTAAGATTATAAGATTATTTTAAACCTTCGTCTGTCAGGGCTTATGATTAATTTGCAGATTATCTGTAATAAGTAAATGTCGTCCACCCGTTTAACCTCAGTATAAATTCTGATGTTCTTTGAAGGCCTCAGAGGTCCATTAGAGAACATTAGTGAACAAAACACCTTCACCAAGACCAACGAACACGGCAGACGGGTCGGGGACAATGCTGTGAGGACATTTACAGCGAGGTGAGGCTATAAACAACAGCAGGGTTCAGTTCATCCTCTGAACATGGAAATAGAGTAACGTTTTGGTTTGCTTTATAAGGAAGCAGAGACAGCGACCCCTGGTGGTAGAAAGGCGGTGTCTCAGAAGCTCCACAGACGCATCTGGATAGACGAGAAAAAAGCCAGAAGAATGTGTGACAAAGCAATTTTATTCGACATGAAACACATCCAATGACAGAGTGACAGTGTTTTTTTGTTGTTTTTTTGTAAGACATGTTGTTAGAGGTTATCGCACCTCTGACTAGTCCAGGATGTGTTTTTGCTGCAGCTCAACGATGCATAGTGGACAAGACTGTTGAGGTAAACAGAGTGGACCCTTGACTTTTTGTTTCCCCTTTTTTTTTTTTTTTTTAAATTTGTGTGAAATGATCCCTTTTCTTTGCCTCATCTCTACATTTTGTGCTTAGCACTTCGGAGGTGTGAAATGGGAACTTTCGGGTGGAAAAAATAAAAACAAAAGCAAAAAAACGATGAGACGGGTTGCATCGTTTCTGTCGAGAATTTTGCATCACATCTTAAGAGCCGATAAAAACCGACAAGGAAAAACAACGTAAGCTCTGACAAAGTGAAAGTCTTTAGGACCTCAAACGGAAATGTTTCCTTCCACGCCGACAAAGACATCCAGGATGAAACCTTTTTTTGCAGTGACGTTGACGGATACAAGTCTGTGTACGGCACCTTATTGAATAGCACCAAGGTCTATTGAAAAAGGCTTGAAGGCCAACATGAAATTATAAAACTTTATTAAAAGTCATCGGAGTGAAACAGTGGCGGACACAGCAATTATCACACAGTTATTCATGAGTAACCAAATGACTGGCTCGCGTACATGTCCTCGGTGAAAAGTGGTCTGTGGTTGTGTCGCTGCTTTAGAAATCAAACAGCTTCAGATTCAAATCTCAATGAAACCCCTAAAAATATATTAAATCCCAAACGTGGATGGAAAGAGTAAAAAATACAGTGGAGGCGACATTTACAAAAAAAAAAGTTTTTGTTTTTTTAAATATTCAATCGTTTGGGATTCTTACAGATGAATCTTGTTGCACCTTAAAAGCTAAATATCACTGTTAGACACACACACACACACACACACGCACACACTCTCTCAGGGACACACCCACATATGTCAAATGATATTGGGAAAGTGCACATTGTTTCTGTTCCCTGTGTTTTTCGATGAGACGTCATTTAACACGCAATGCAGAAAGAAACCCGGTCAAGTATGAAAGATCAGTCAAGTTTTTATCTACAGACTCCATCGCCATGTACACAGTAACACTAGTAATACAGTATCTCACTTCTAAAATACAGTATACAGACATTTTTAACCCTTATCTATTGTACTTTTTCCTTTAAAGAAGTATTCTGCCATTTTTAAATGCAGGTTTCAAAGGGACTTGCGCCTATTTTTGTTCCCACTCAGTGTTACAGACATTTGGAAGGAATTAGTTTAAATATCAATTCGGATTTTTTTCATTAAAACAAAAGAAAAAAAAAAAGCGGCTTGAAAATAAGGTCAACCAGAACAAGACGCCCCTCTTTCTGAAGAAAAGAGATGTCGATGTGCTTTCAAATGCAAAAAGAAAAATCAGCGGACCTCCTTAAAAACACTAAATAAAATCATGTAGAAGCTCCACAGGTTTTTAATAAGGCAAAAAGTTTTCCCCACACTCCTCGCGTGTTGTTCTCTTTTAAAATTCAAATAGTTTACAAATCAGAAATGTCTCAGAGGTAAAAGGCACTACCCTGCCTTCTGATCATCTACACGTTGTTTATGGACTGCGGGTGAAAGCTGCTGGGCTTTCAGATTCGCCTCTGCGCTCGGGTTCGACCGGTCTCGGCTCAAATCTGCACCTCGAGAAAAAACTAGAGGGTAACTAAAACGGAAAATGGAAATCACGTGTCATGAAAATGTGATGATTCATAAGCTGGTTTGTGCCTCTCATAAGTAGCCACAGCTGGAACAAGCTAAGCATCATGTGATGTGGGAATGGACACATGACGCGTGACGCTCACGTGGTGAGCAGGAAGAAGTCGATCTTTAATGTCCATCTATTTTTCCTCAGATTGTTTTGATCCCTTAGCTGGCTGCAGATTTCTAAGAGAGTTTTCAGTAAACATAATTAGCATTGTGGCTAATAAGAGGCCCAAACAGCAGCTAAAATCTTTAACTCTGCTCCTGATGTTGGCTCTGCTTATGACCTGGTTGCTTTTATTTTTCTTCCACTAGCCTGTATGCAGACATCTGCTGCACTTCCAAACAGCATGCACACCTAAAATGACAGAAACATCTGCAATTCCCACAAAAAACAGGCGCTTCAAAGTAAACAAAAATCAGACAATTAGACAATCACAGTTATCCTATCTTAACTCAGCAAGTCCTTGCACACTGAAAAACAAGAAATCCATTTTATTTTCCTCTAATCCAGGTTTGTGAGTGAGGGAATGTTTGGGGTTTTATTTTTTTCCACACACAAATGTAATTCAAGCGTATTTTAGGACATTTTGCACTGAGCGAAGGCCGACGTTCGTTGCTTTGGGCTGAAGCAGAACGGGTGTGGAGGTGAGAGCCGCGGTGCACCTGGTGGGGACTCACAGAGCCGAAACGGGACTTGCTGGTGGCACTTTTTTTCTTTCTTTCCCCTTTTAATACTGATGTGGATTTGCTCCTGTGGAAGCAGCAGCAACGGCAGCAGCAGCAGATGTGGGCAGTGGGGTCTCCTTTTGAGGCAAGAAATGGAGCCAGACGTGCAAAGACGTGCAAAAGGTGGAGGAAGTTCCAGTGCGCCCCCTGTCTTTAAGAGTATGGAGGTTAAAAAAACAAAAACAAACAAACAAATGAACAAAAGGAATTAAACAATTAAGATTTTGTCTTTGAAGGGAGCATGTTATTTAAAAAATGTGTAAAAACAAAACAAAAAAAAAACAACAACAACATGATTTAGGATTGGTGAGGGAGAAACGGGCTTCAGACAGCAGATGAAGATCAACTTTCTTCTAAGCGAACGTTTCCTCTGATGAGAACCAAAGATTTCGCCCTCGTTCTTAGAAGTCTTGGGCTGCAGCAATCGAGCAGGTGGAACAAAAGCAGGATCAGTTTCTGAAAGGGAAGCATTTCACTGTAACAGCACGTTCGCTGTGCTTGCGTCCCCCGCATCGCTTTCTCTTTTAAAACGTGTCCGAAAGCCGACATGGTGGAGGAGGGCGGGGAGGGTTGTGTTTGCGGCTGCTGTTCACACCCCTCAGGTCCCTGGGGGTCTTCTCTGACCCTGGCTCAGTTTTCTGCATCGGTTTCTGACCGCTGTTCACATGTTGTAGGCCACGTAGATGGGGTCCAGTTGGTCTGCCAGGAAGGAGTCCCGCAGGTGCATCCTCTGCTTCTCCCCCCTGGAGTTGATGGGGATCACCCCGGGGTCCACGATGACCACCACCCCGACGATGAGGTGGTGTTCCTCCAGCACCACGTTGGTGACGAGTGGTACCAGGTCCAGGGCCTCCTGCTCGGAGCCGCTGAGCTCTGCCACCACCACCAGCAGGTTGGTCCATGTAAACACAGCGCTGCGCACCAGAAAAACAAACACAATCATCAAGCAGAGCGTTAAAACCAGGGCGACGTCTCTATCTTCCTGGTTTCAGTGAGAAGGCGAGCAGTAACGTTTTGGATCGGCTCATTTTTTAAGGCAGGCTTGTGGAGAGACTACTGCAGGAATCAATGTGACTAAAGATAAGACAGAGAGAAGTCAGTTTGCTGCTGTCGTTAAAAGCTAATCAGCATGAAACCCTCACCTCTCTGCGATGCTGCGGTGAGCTCGGGACACAGACGTCTCGATGTCGATGGGGTGATAGCGCAGCCCCCTTAACTCCAAAGTTTCATCCAGAGAGCCAACAACAAACAAGGCATCATGGCGATCTGGAACAGTTCACCATGAGTTTGGTTAAATGTCATTTCTGGCTGGAAAGTAAAATAACTTAAACATCCGTTAAAAACTCCTCTCTCCAGCTCATTGTAAGAAAAACAAACAGCAAAACGGCAATTTCATCAAAAGCCGTCTGACCTCCGCTCGCGTCCAGCAGCTCCGTTCTCTTGATGAAGCCCAGGTATCCCGTCCTGGACCAGAGAGTCTGGGGGTCGCCAAAGCTGAGTTTGGTGTTGAAATGATCCGCCTGCAGGCTCTCCTCTCCGTAGATGGTGTAGTAGCCGCTGGCGCTGTGAGGGGAGTTCACCCAGATCTGCACAAACGCACGGGGCGGTAATCACTAGAACATGTCTAGGGCTTCTTTTGTGTATCATGTTTCATTTTAGATGGCTTGTAAATTTCCGATTGTGAATCTGAAACCAATTTTAGAGGAAATGTAAGGGTCTCCTGTTAAGATTCTCGGCTAACTCACCTCTCCAAGATGCGAGTCTCCCAGCGGGCCCCTGGTCTCTGGGTTAACTATGATGACTCTGACCCCTGGCAGGATCTGAGAAGAAAAACACAAGACATTGAACTCTGAAGGAAACATATAGACGTCTCACTGGAAAGAGCTGACTCATCAGTAAACACTCACAGTGCCTGACTCCATGAGTGGAAGACTCTGTGGCGCTCCTTTTTCAACCAGTCGCACTCTAAAAACAAACAAATAAAAGAAATATAAAGTTTCTATTTGTTTCCAGCACGAGCGTCATTTTCGAGTCGTTTGGTCTCACCTGTCGTGACGCAGGGACTTCATGTCAACATAAACGGTGGAGGGATCTGGTCCGGAAGTCCCCTGGAGAAACAAAAAGAGACACCTCAGCTCAGTGGCGCAAACTAAAGAGCCAAAGAGTTTGGTAACGCGGCATGAAGCTCACCTGCAGGCCGATGGCCAGATTGACCCTGGAGCCGAAGGCGGTGCTGACGGCCCGAGGCGACAGGCCCAGATCTTTGAAAAGCTTGGAGAAGGACTGCGAGAGCGCGAGGCGGGGTCGCTCCTCTGCCACCACCACGCAGCTTCGCACACACGACAGGTTGAGACCCCGAGCCTGAAACACACACACACACACACACACACAGCTCACGACGGGGTGTCGACAGAGGCTGACGTACGGCGAGCAACGCACGCAAAAACATAGAAAAACAAAAATAACACCTTGTGTGCAAGAATATGACAAGTTTTCTATTTAATAAAATGTCATATTTGGACTCAAATCCAGAGTTCACGTCGATGGTTATTTTTGCAAAGTGGAGTTTTTTTTTTTTTGCCTCTTGTTCCTGTGAGAGAAAATTATTTTTAGAAATACTGAAAATTTTGCAGTGTCCAATTACCAATTAGTGCCAGAAAGCATTAAATAAAAATAAATGAATGAATTACATCTCTGATATAACCAAAATTTAAATATTTAATAATTTATTAATTGAATACATTTAAGATTTAATTGTTTAAATGTTGGAACAATTTATCAAATGAGTAATGAAACACGTTTTAAATTCTTAACTAAATTATGCCAGTATATAATAAAATCGTATTTAATTGTATTTTACACATTTATCATTTGTGTATTTTAGTCCAGTGTGTCAAACAGACCGAGCTTGTGATTGATTAACCTGCACGACAACTTCTGATCAGTTGTATTGAACACAGTATTGTTGGCCCCGCCCACTAACTCTGACAAATGAAATAAATTAATTAAAGAGTAATTGCCAATTATTAGACTAACACCAATATATAATTTACCAAAGTACTTGTTTCTGATGTCAATGGATGAGACATTTAAGAGCCATTTAAGTTTTCTGTGGCACTTCTGAGCTTCTACACTCATGTAGGCTTGACAAAGATTTTTTGTATAATAGATGAGGACGTGACCCATTTTATGCACGTTCACCCACTTCCTGCATGAAACCACAAGAACAACAGATCATTTCTTTTCTTTTCACATCTCTGTGCTTACTCTAAGAACCTTACAACAACATGACTGAAAACTTTAGACAGGAAACGATGTGAAAGAAAACTGTTAGTCAATCATCTTTGGGCCAGTGTTGTTGTTTTAATGTTCTTCCTTTACATTTGTTATCTAGTCGGGTTGCATGATCAGATTTACACTATGTGAAAGCAATTGTTTTCAGTGCTAATTTTTCTTTTTATCATCTAGATTTATAGTGCAAATTCTTAACAAATGCTTTAGTTGTCTGTACTTTTGTCTGTCCTCTTTCAAAATTAAAATAATCAGTAATTTACATCGAGTATAAAAACGTTTGAGCTATTTTGCACATAAAAACGTTTTTAAAAGATTAAACACAAATGTTTTTTCCAAACTATTTTAGTCCTACTACCTCTGACATTTACAAACCCAATCAGCTGCAAACGTACAATAAACACATCTGTGAAAGTGTCCACTGTCGCTCAGGTTGAGCGCGACACTGACCTTCAGCATCTCGGTCTGCGTGCCGAGGCCTTTGGTGCACAGCTCCATGACGGAGTAGGAGCAGAAGGTGTCTCTGATCTTGTACTGACTGAGCGTGCTCAGCCACAGAGGCAGCGAGGTCTCCAGCTCCAGCGGAGGAATAAGGATAGACTGGTGACCTGAGTAAACACTGAGACCAAAAGAAGAAGAAAACAGATCAGCTGCAGCACCAGTGGAACCATTCATAGGAGATATTTTTAAAGACAAAGCAACGTATTTTGTGTGTGTGTGTGTGTGTGTGTGTGTGTATACCTGGAGAGGCACCACAGGACAAAGCCCAGGCCGCAGTACGGGTCCAGGCAGATGGCTATTTGGCGTGAGGAGTAAAGCTCACACTGCAGCTTGATGGAGCGGCAAAGAGTGCTGATGGCCGCGTGAGACATCTAAAGACATTCACAGAGAAAGAGGTGAAGGTGAAGTTTGGTTTGTTTTCATTCTTGCAACAAGGCAAACAGCACCAAGCAAAGCTTCATGGAGGATTTACTGATTTCTCACAATCTGTTCAACTTTATATGGATGTGAATTTAATACAATACAACCAGGCTAATTTATTAGTAACCTTTAGAAAGTGTCTAGGATTAGGGTGATTTAACCAAATAAAAGAAATAAATCAAATACCAGGGAACGATAACAAAAGCTCCTCAGTGATTATAAACACAGTTATAAAAACAGGAACGGAAATGAAGATTTTTTAAATTGATTATATGTTTCTAAAAACATATAATGAGACTTTTAAAATCATCTTTTAAGTTGTTGGTCTCATTTCCTGTCAGAAACGTCTATTAACTAAACATGATTCTCTCTTCAAAACATGTTTATGAGGGAAGGCTTAGGCTTGAAATTTTTTCCTCTATTTGTGCCATAATTAGGACCATTATGGTTTTAACATTTAAACAAGGGAAAAACTGAAGCATTGCTAAAATCTGGTAAAATCGAAGATTATGTTCTACTGTGTGAAAAAAGACAGATAATGTAGGACCAACATAGAAGAAGCATCAGCCGAAACCCCTTTCAGAACCCTCAAAATGAATGTTGAGGGTTCTGAAAATTCACCAGACGCATTTTGGATTGCTATGTTAAAACGTACACAGTTTTAATCACTATTTATTGAAAACAACAGAACACATCAGGCTTTAGGCCAGTGCTGCAGTCAGTCAAACAACCAATGAGTTCACGTCACACAGATTCCTACTTCTTATTTTGAACCTTTAAATACATCCTCATTCACTTTTTGCTTTTTAAAAATTTGATCATTTTTTATTCACAGAAACGTTTGCTGCCACAAAGCATAACTTTGAGGAATGTTGCGTTTTATTTACCTTGACTCCAGTCAACATGCCTGTGGTAGACACACTGAAGTCCAAGTAGGCCAGCATCTCAGGAGTAGGAGGTTTGTAGATTTGTGGAGGACGCTTCCTGGGAAGATCATCTGGTAGGAGACGCAGTATAAACTTATATTATTTTAATTAATCACATTTTTAAAATGTGTTTGCTGTGTCATGGATAGGCAGTCGGATAATTTTTTTGGTTCACAATATTGTCACTCATTTGAAACTACAGAGCAGACTTTGATTTTGTTAAGACTTGTGTAATGTAGTGAAGGGAAAACAACACCTAGTGGCAAAAAGAGAAAAATACTTCTGTGTTAACACTTTGCATTTAGAGCTGATTTATTAAAAAAGTGTAAGATTCAGGAGGCAGCTCCATTCTGCTGCGTCTCCCCAGCTTGAGTGCGGTCCTCAGTTTGAACATGCGTCTGCGCTCCGCACCTGTATCAATGATCGTCGGCCATGTTTTGACGTTAACGCTGGCAGCGGCCTCCCTGGACCTGAGGATCCTCATGAGAGGCTGAGTGGTGAGGATGCAGGCTGCTTTGCTCACCTGAGGAGGACATACACCACAACACACAGGGTTATTCTGGCAGAAACACACTCTGCTTTAAGAGTTAACCAATATTTACAAGATGACTGATGCTGAAAGGAAAAAAAACAAACAAACAAAAAAAGACATGTAATCGGGAGAAACTGAGTGGCACCCAGTATGGACTCAATTCAAAGACAGATTCTGGACCAGTTGTGTTTCACATTTCTGCAGCATGGACTGCACTCACGTCAATGATCATGCGGACTGTGGGGAGCGTAGCAGCCAGATTCTGGGGGTGCGGCGGCCTCACGGTCACGGGAATCACCCCTGCGTAGAGGCAACCGTAGAAGGCAGCGATCAGGTCAATACCTGCGGTGGAGAAACAGAATGTGAATGAAAACCCTTTGGCATATACAAACTCGATATTTTTCTTTTTCTTTCCAAAACAGGTGAAACCCAGAAAGGCGACATAAAAACAATGTACATCATTTTTCTCTTTGCGGCTCACCTGGAGGATAAAGCAGCACCACGTTGTCGCCCGTGTTGAGGCCTCCTCTTTCTAAGAGAGTGGCTGTGATTTTCTCTGCTCTTTTGTGAAGCTGTGCACATGTTGCTGTGCACACTGGAACACCCTGCACCAGACAACGGAGAAGATACACCAGTTGTCATGGTTCGTGACAAAAAGCCATCCCAAAGTGGAGTGTTGTGTTTGTGGAAATACGTCTGATCTTACCTTAGAGTTGAGCAGAATGTAGAGAACGTGATCAGGGTCGGTTTGGGCTCTCCACTGCAAAGCTTCAGACAGGAACTGGTGCTGAAAACGAATAGAGGTGCAATTTTTAACGAGCAGGTCGAGCCTTGTAATTAACTACTTATCCTAGTATTGTGTGTGGTTTATTTTGGATTAGACTCAAGTCAGAAAAGAAAAAAAAATTAATTTCTGTATGTTCTTATTTGCGAACTAACTCAAGTTCAGGCAGACTGGATGAAGAGCAATAATTTTTTCAATCTCTCCACATATTTTCATTTATGTTTACGTCCCTGGGATTGAGACATCCTAACAAGAATTTCTAGTCTCTTATCCAGTCGAAGGGCTTTTGCTGCTGCAGGGACACTTCCCAAAATTGCTGGGCACTTGAGACCAGGAATTTGACAGCCTTGCACTAATGGGTTTTCTCCCAGCGATAGCCTGTGTACGGCTCCCTTCATGATGCTGTTTGATCAACAAACGTCTGAGGCCTTCACAGAACAGCTGGACTTCCACCAGGGCTGCAGAATATTAGGAAAACTAAGGTATTTTATGTGTGAGAATGATCTTGACTGTTCCTGAATGACGATCTGATTTCACAAACCGATATTTAAATGAAAAGTAACATGATCTTTTCTTGCAGTTTCACTGCAAGAATTGACCTTAATAATGTGTATTCTGTCCAGATACAATAAAAAATTTATTATTTCCACTTCAGCATTTAGTGAAAATATTGCATCTGAATGCACATGGTGCTTTAACACTGACACAACTTGATTGCAGTCGAACAATCAAGACTGACTTCACCAGAAGATCCTAATGCCTTCTTCAAATGTTTTCTGCTGCACTCAACAAGCATTGTCATATGATGTCCTTAGAGCCCAAAACCATGAGGCGTATAGTATCACTAAACATTTATAACAACCAAAATTGTTCTGTAAAATAGCAACTGAAGGCAATAAGTTACACTAAGTTTCAGTTAAGCGAAGTCGCGTAAAGGGGGCTAAATGCAACTTAAAATTCAGATTGTATTTTACAAAAATGTTGAAAACTATGCATTATTTTCCTTCCACTTCAGGATCCTGCTCTACATTGTGCTTGTTGCATTAAATTCCAGTGAAATACACTAAATATAATGTGTATTTAAAATGCAGGGGGAATGGGTGTAATATGTACCCTTTCAGACAGAGAACATGAAAAATTGCCTCTGCTGTTTTCATGTTACTGATAAAAGGAACTACAAATGTAACAAAGACATCTTGTTCTGCTGCTGACCTCCCATATAAACCCAGACAGGGTTTAGGAATACATAAAGTGTTACTTTAGCAAGTGAAGGGTCACACTGGAAGGAAGGGAAAAATGTGACTGCCTTAAAATAAAATTTCTCAAAGAAAACGGCCTACAACTGACAAATCTCTCAATGTTTTGTTACTACACAGCCATCATTTTCATTTCAAAACATCTGCCAAAAAATAATCACAGAAGGCAAGAACATCAATCCAACAATTCCCATATAGACAAAGACAGGAGTACGTAAGGCCACACATAAAAACAAATACAGAAACTAAAACAGCAAGTTCTTTGGACACACAAACACCGAGCAGAGTTACTGCGTCGAGAGTCGGCCCTGTCCTTGGGAGACCCGCTCACCAGTCAGATAACATCACACTGTCGTGACTCAACATGCAGGCTGCAGCTCTGACCACTCAAAGCCATGCTGCATGTGGGAGCATCACACTGATGACAGGAAGCAGAGCCACACACCGATACGCTCCCAAACATGGACGTCACGTTTGAAACAAAAGGCGGGCCTCGCAGAGCGCAGACTGGCAATAATCATTTGATTCACGTTTCTTCTGTTTCTGAACCCTGATCGATTCCAAACTCCACTTTGGATGTTCGCCTATATGATGAAGTATATGATGAACCCTGTTGGACGAGGAGCCAGCCAGGACAATTAGCTTGGTTTGTGTGAAGCTGTAGCTGGACGGGGGGAGTGGAGGGGATCAGGGTTATTACAGCTGCAGAAGCACAGGAAACTGACAGAAGCAGCATAAGCAGAGGCGAGCAGGGGGGCCAGACTAGAGCCTTACCATCATGGTGGGCCACATACAGAGCTGTAGCCCAGCAAAACAACAGCACAGGTTGAGGATAAGACATCAGCATCCAATTTCCAAGTCACATTCTTTGATAATAAATTCAAAGCATTTCAAACTTATGCATCAGTTTCATTTCAACACATTTGGATGCCAGTTTCTTTTCACTTTCACTCAAAAATGGATCAATTTCAATGAAGCAACATCACTTTGTTATAAACTGCAAGATCCCTTACAGAGGAATGACTATAGCAATACTTTTTAATCATTGGATAATCTAGAACATCAACTTCATGAGAAGGACACGGGACTTTATCAATATTTTAAATAAAACTTATGTTAAAAACCTATTGGAAACACCAAGATGAGTCATTGGACGCATATCGATGTCATTAACACACAGCATGTGTCCCGCCTAGAAAGATCACTGGATCTTAACTGGGAAGTTTTTTTTGCACAAACATAAAATGCATAATAACAAGAGAACAATGTCAAAAATGATCAGATCTGTGCTCAAGTTTAATCAGACTAAAAACGTCACTAATTTTGAATCAGAGATGACGAGCTAAGGTTCAGATTTCATAAAATCTGTGAAATATCCCTTTCTTCTAGAGTGAAAGCTATAAAACAGATATTGTAGCTGAAAAAGTTGCTGAAAGTAAGTTCAACCAATCATAAATTGTCTTTAAAGAAAGGGTAAGCAGTAAACAATAGATTAGTTCTTCAAGTATTTTACATTCTGAATTTAAGAGATTAAAATCACCCTGCATTTGGGAAAGTCATTTTGTGCCAGTTTAATATAACAAGATCTTCTGCCACAAAGTCGTCCTACAGTCCTGTTTAACATTGTGTTGAACAGTGATATAAGTCTGTGAAGTGTTACCTTTCGAATGAGGTCCTGATCCTCCACCACACCCAGCTCTCTGCCCGTGGCCTGAGCGATTCGCTTCCCTGCCACCAGGTTCCCAACAAGCATAGAAGCCGGACCAACATCCACTGAGGAGACCAGAAACGAGAGTGAAAACTAAAATGAGCACAAATGAAAGGTCACACTGCTAACAACACTGCTAAACAATTCCCTATTACAGATATCCCCACCAAAGAAACTACCTCCCTTTATTCAGAAAATATATAACAGAACTGAACATGATAATATTCTCCTTTAGCTACAGTTCCATACAGATTACATGCTGTAATAGATGAAGGCTCACCTGGCTGTTTCTGTCGAGGCTTGGGCATGTTTGTTACACACGTATGCGGACACATGAGGATGTTGCAGGGATGCAGGTTACCGTCCAGGAAACTCTGCTTGGTTTCACAGATGTGGATTCCTCCTAGCGGGGTTTTTGGGAGGGTGTTGGCTGGCACAAGAGCGAGGCAGTAAAGGCCAACCTGATGGATGCCGTCGATGGCCTTCAGGATGCAAAATTAATATATTTAATGTAGTATTTCCTTTGGAAGGGTATAAAAATAAAACACACACACACTATAAATAGCTGTATAATCGATTAAAGGGTGCAAAATTATGAATGGAGTTAGGTTTCAGGAGAACATTAAGCTAATTGATGATTCTTTTTTTTTTTTTTTACATGATAAACTTGAAGTGAGCACAGCTCTTCATGGTGTAGTTTAAGAGATGTAGGAGTGTTGAAACATTTTCCTTCAAAGGTGAGACCGTGGTGACTGCGGTTTCTGTTAGACCATGCATGCATGTGCCTTCTCAGTTCAAATACTTCCCTCTGCAGGAGGCCATTATGAATATGTGCATGCTCCTCCCCGTCTCATTAAACTTAATGTAAACTGAATGTTCAAGCTACAGCCATCCAAACATAAATTTAGTCAAAGCAAGTCTGCTACTGTTTCTGCTGAAAATACCCATTTTTGAGACAAGCCTTGTTTAATCTATTGGAAAAAGAGGAAGGTGTAACATACAAGAATGTTTTAATTTCTATTCACTAAAGCAATGGTTAACAAAGCTGGATGTGAGGACAGTTTGGATTTAGTTTGTGATTTCAAACTAACAAGTATGGGGTCTCAAGTTTTTTTTTTTTCAATTTCAAGTTAAAGAATCACTAATAAATATTGTAGAGGGATGTATGCAAGTGAATACAGACAAACGACTGGAAGTTCATGTTTAAGTGACTTATTAATGATTATTATTTTTGCTAAAACTTTAGTTCACTGAAACGAAAAACTAAAATGTGTGACAAAAAACAAGACAGAAGAAATTTGCAAACATCATCTCCCAGCACCGTAGTTCCTATAGAGGATGAACTTAATCTGGAAATGCTCAGTGTTGTAGCAAGATGTACTAAATTACCTGCAGTACTCGACTCATCCACTGGAAGCTGTCTTCCTCACTGGCGTCAGGTCTCTGCTCTGCCACAACCACTATTCTCTCATCATAAAACACCGTCACTGAGAACACAGCAATCCTGAGTGGATGACACCAAAACATACCTTCAGCCATCACTGGCTGACATTAAAACAGCCTGGTAACAATTAAAAGCATCATTTGCAACATCAATGCATTTTTTGAGAGAACTGCAAAGGAAGACACGGGCAGAGACTGCCCTCCGTGGGTCTCAAGCAGCAGCAGCAGAGTCGTACCTCCCCCTGTAAACTGTTTTGACAGGCTCCACTGCCAGCGCGGTGGCCACCAGGTCGTCAGCATTGTGGCGTCGCCCACTCACCATCAGGAGTCCCTCAATCTTCCCCACAACAAACACAAGACTCCCCTGAGGAGCAAAGAGAAGAAAATTTACAGTTTTAACCAGGACTTCATCCCTCCTAATATGGAGGTGTAAAAATTAACTCAATGAGTGAGAAGATGTGATACTAAGTCCAATTACTTCCCAAAAACACAGATTAACACTTGGACCGAGTGTAATAAAATAGGCAATAGCAGTACTATTTTATGTATAATGGAAAAGAATGTAACAACAAACTATCCTATCAGACTGTATTTGGCATAACTTTCTTTGAAAACAGTAGATAATGTAATTTCTCTGTAGTAACAATGATAAATGAGTCATTTAGAACAAGGTCAATTGTTCTAAATGACTCATTTATATCACAATTACTTCACATCAAATGATATTATATTATTTACACCCAGTCTCTTCAGTAGATCCCTGTCAACTTTTGCTAATCAACTTCACACCCTCATCAAGCTTAGAGAAATATCAGGTTTCTTTTAAAAGTGAATGGAGGAGGTGGGGGTCTTTAGCTTTTATTGGTGTGTCTCTCGTTGCAATTAAAAATCCTTTTTTACTTTGAGGAGTTTAAGCTTTTTTCCCTCCAACAGAGAAACTCCAGTTCCTTACCGGTCCCACAAATCCCAGTAAACCAGTCCGAGCGAAGGGGATTTCTCCTATGGGCGCTCCAGCCTGGTTGACAGGGATAACCTGAAGAGAAAACGCCAGAAAGACTATAAAATTACTATTAAAAGATACAGAAAATACTTGTAGAAAGTATAAATATTGAACTCTGAAAGACCTCGAACGTGTTCTTGGTGACACCAGGAAGGCCGTAATACATCGTTCCTCCAGCCCGAGAGTTGATCACTATCTCTCCAATCTCGTCCGTCTTGCACAGCTGCGGCGGCCCATCTGGCTTCACTATGCACATCAGAGCTGGAACAGACAACATGGTGCCAATGTTGGGATTAAATATGTTTAGAACCTACACGTGTGAGAAAGTAAAAGGTCAAAATGCAAAGTGAAATTCAGCTGCAGAGGATCACCTCCAGGCATAATGTGGCCGACATCTTGCACAGTCAGAGCAGAGTTCTTGTCCTCCGTGTTGACCCTGATGACACCGTGGCTCAGCCCACCCATGGACAGGATGGCCCTGGCTGGGAGAGGAGCTCCACGGGCGCCAGGTCTACAGAGAAGACAGGAATAAAAGAAGATGCATAGAACATAAACTCGACATAAAATGTTCCACTGGATGTTTTCTCCAAAATTAAACTAAGATTAATCTCAGATGATCTGAAAAGTGTGGAAGTCTACTTTCAACTGCGTTTTTGAAGTAACATTGTAGTTATAATAAAAGTTATTCATCTGGCAATTTTTGAAGAATAATTGTATCTTTTTCGGGTTTCCAGATCAGATTCAGCTTGTTGATGTTCATACCTGCGTATGGCCACAGTCAGAGCCTCAGGGGAGGTGGCACATGGACAGATGACCTCCGGCCTCAGACCATGAGACTGGAACACGTTTAGGAAGGCATCGCACGATGAGACGGACCCTGACAGTGAACAATGGAGGACAACATCAACAAAACATCACCTGAAACTACCACGTTGCTGATTTTGAATTGCTACAATAGGACTGCACATAGGGGAAGTCACTCACATGGATTTGCCCCATCAGCCACTATTAGCATTCGTATAGAAGATAGGTTGATGTCCTTCTGATCTTTGTGGGCCATCATGGCCCAGTGAAGGTCCCTGCACTTCACCAAGGCAACACGTGCTATAAGATGAAGACAGAAGAAGTAAAAAATAAGAAACCTGTGAACAATTAGGCAATATTTGTCATGTTTTTTTTTTTTTAGGTTTCTTGGCTCTAGTGGCCTTTATTTGACAATGAGTGGACAAGAAAGTCCACTCATTGGACTTTCCTGTCCAATGAGTGGAGTGGAAAGACATTCAGGAAAGATCAACAGGTCGCGTTACCTCTGCGCCACATTCAATATTTGTCAATTTTGAAATCATTACATCCAAATCGCTTTAAAAAGATCCATAAAAACTCCAAACCTGAACAAATATGAAAGCCAACACTGGAAGTATGAAATAATTAAGTCTGAACCTTTGTGGATGTGCACTCTCTGTACCCAGGACATGGGACAGGCTTTCATGACGGCATACGGCACAGTGATGGTGTGAATTCTGTTCATAACACTCTGCAAGACGAAACAAACGCACACTGTCAATTTTTATTATTTGTCTGACTGCAAAGGCGAAAAATATCCCAGATTTGCCAGCCTCACCGTTAGGACGCCATGCCACAGGCCCATGTCCTTTTTGCAGTCCAACACATTGACCAGCGTCTCCCCTATGTTGGAAACATCATGTATTAGCTTCAGAATTTGATGGTGATACAAATAAAAAAAGCCGGAGAGAGTGAAGTTTTACATGTTGAGTTCTAACCTTCACAGTAGTTACAGGCCTGAGTCAGAGCTTGACAGTGTGTCAGCATGGCGATCTTGGAAACGGCAACTCCCATCACCGTTCCCTCCTTACTCGCTTTATACTGTTACAGAAGGATACAGGTGAACAAATATCAGTCTGATGTACTAAGTAAGTGGAGTTATCCACAACCTCTAAATGATCCTCTTAATTAAGTAGAAATAGACATGTATTTGTCAAAAATGTGTATAAATGCGTTTTTCTGCTCTTAGATCACCTCTATGTAGGCTGTGTCTGTGTTGGCGGTGGGAATGTGAGGCTGCCAGTCTTTGGATGGTTTGGTCAGGTACTTTGTGTCGGTGACGACCCACTTCATTCTCGGCCATCCTGGAAAAACATCCCAAAAAACGAGCGTCAGAAAATAAAACACTTGCTGATAGAAAGTACAATGGAAGTGTGTATTGTATCGCCTTTCACATTTTGAACTTGCTGACCTTTGAACTGGACGATCTCGCCATTCTGGGTCTTGGGCAGCCCTTTGAGGCACACCTCACTGGTCAGCGCCAAACTCACACCACAGCTGCCCAACAGGAAGCCAATCTGCTGGCTGCCTGCATCCTACACAGGGAATGAAAAAAACATTTGCAAACACACATACTCCTAAACTGAGGTACTCAAACATCTAAAATAACTACGGCTCTTGAAGGTAGTTTATGTAAGCGTCTGCATAAATATTTACCTGCCGTGACAGCGGCACCTCGATGGGGACAGGAATCACCTCAGCTAACAGGCAGCCATAGAAAGCTACCCAGAACATTCCAGGGTCACTGTTTGGATACACCAACGCCACCTGGGAGCCAGAAAAATGTTTCATGTTTATGCTCCTTTTGGACTTCCACATATTACACACGAGTCTCCGATAATCTCTTACCCGATCACCAGTTTGTAGGACAGGCTCAGTCTTGGTCCCGAGTTTGTTCAGCAAAGTATAAGCCAGCTTTAAACTGCGACTCCATAGTTTGCCTGAAGGAGAATGCCATTTTATTATTGGAGAAAGTTAAAAAAGCGCCATAGCTGCATACCGCATGAACTGCACTGTTGGTGCACAAGTTTTTATACCCCTTCAAATATTTTTTTTTTTTTACCATTGTGACAAACAACCAATTTATATACAAGTAATAAATATCAATTTATTTAGATAAGTTGAAAAAAAAGTTGACAAAAAAGCACGATAACGTAGATTTCAGGAGCAAAAATTTAACAAATAATTTAAAGTTTCGATCATCGACACTCACCATATGTGAGTGTATAGAGGGGTTTGCCGGTGATGTCCAGGGCAGTGAGGGCAGGGCTCTTAGCCTGCGTGGCCCCCCATCGGGCCAAGGCAGCTTGCAGGGCAGGAGGCCAGTTGCTGACCACTCCCAGAGGCTCTCCCTTCACTGGGACGATTTGACGCCCCTCAGGCTTAGGGGTGTTGGGATCTGGCCTTGGAACTAGACATGGAAGAGGGAAAAATAATGAGAAAACATTTATAAAAATGTTTAGTTTTTAAGAAGATTAGAAAAAAAGGAGAAAAAAAAAGACGTGTTTATTAGCTCAGCATGAACATTCACGCTTGACTTGAAAATTAAGACAAGAACTAACCAAACAATGCAACAACCATTCAGAATAGAAGGACACGTCCAATAAATTTTACACTTTCGTAAAACCGACTTTGACAATCCAATCTTCCTCTGTTCCCTGACTGGACTCACCTTCTACAATTTCCTCTGAGTCGTCAAGGAAGAACTCGCTGAGCGGGGGCCGTTTGGGCCGTTTAAGAGTATTCAACAGCTGCTGGATCTTGGTGGACACCCGGCTGCTGACCGGCACGCCTGGACAAACACCAAGAATCAATCAGGAACCCATGCAAACAGCCGGGATGGAAACAAGCATGCAGTTCTGCCCCAACACGCATATCTACTTTATCTCTCACACAGGCAGAACGCTACGATCTAGCACACTCAGCATCAGTATCAGCAGCAGGAAGGATTCGAAAGGGAAGAAGGAGACACAAAGATTGGACAATCTGTTTTAGGAGAAACCCAATACAGGAAGTTCGCTACTTCTAAACCTAAGACACCAGACAAACATGGAAAAAGATGCTGGAAAGCAAGCTGGTTGGGGCCTCGTCAGCATCCCTCCCCTTCCCCGGGTTTGTTGTATATTACCTTTTCTTTTTCCTTTTTTTAAATCAAAGGCAAGACAGGGACAGGATTAATGGACCCAAAAGAAAGAACACAAAACATCTGTCATTAGCACCATTCACCACACTGTGAAATCATGTTGCCTCTGAGTTTAGATCTTTTTTTTTTCTTAACATTCGTTTATAACCACTTTGTCAAAGTATTACAGGAAGAAATCATTCCTCTATTACAATCACAATATGCTAATAGCAAATCCCACAAATTAAAGGAAGAACCAAACGACAGTAAACCCAGGTTCCAGATTTGACCCCATTCGAGTCCCTTGATGGACATTTGTACAGATCCTGGCATGTGAGAGTGTACCGTCAGCTGTATCCAGCATGCTGGAGCGGCTCTGACCGCGGCTCATGCCCCTGATGGCTGGAGGAAGGTCCACTCTGGATCCTCTCTCTTGTGGAGTGGAGGAGGTCACGTCTGGGGGGACGCTGTTTTCTATCGGTGGAGATCACAAAAAAGCATCACTGGCGAAACCTAATCAAAGGATTTTTAACCAGGAAATCATCGCCGTCTCCGCTACTAAGGTGTACCTATGCGCATGTGGGCCAGGACATCAGCCAGCACCGAGGCCCCCGGCTGAAGCTGGGGCTGAGGCTGAGTCTTGGGCTCTCCATGGGAGAGGGTGGAGGAAGCAGACGAGGAAGTGGAAGAGCTTTGGACGGAGCGGTTGATCCAGTAATCGGGGCTCTGGAGGGTCTGGGCGAGCACAGCACTGAGAGCCGCCTTTCTGCGCAGCGAGCCTTCATCCTCTGATGCAGAGGATGTATCTGAGAACAAGAAAACCAAATTAAAAAAAAGAGTGCAATCTTTTTTTTTTAGTTTCTCTATATTTACAAAAAATATTCACATCCCTTGACTCTGGATGCTTGTTTTTGACTTCTTTTCTTTTTTTCTTTTCCCACAAAAAATCAGCATTGTTTGTGTTTGTGTTCAGCTTGCCCAAGTGAATCCTTTGCAGAACCACCATTTTACTTACAAGTCTCACCCCTCTACCAGCTTTATGCATCTTCAAAGAAGAGCCTCTTTCCGTTCTTCTTTGCAAGATGGCGCAAACCTAGACTGCATCGATCAAATTTATTTTTAAGCCTTGCTCAACTGGATTAATATCTGCTCTTGCTGGGCCTTTCTAACTCATGAATATGCTTGGATCTGAACTACTCTGTTGTAGTAATGAATGTTTAAGTTTGTCCCAAACCCCAGGCACTAGTCTTGTGCGTACTCCAACAGGTTTTCTTACAGCTTTTATTTGGCTCAATCCATTTCCTCCAAGTTCCAGCAGGAATGGTGTTTTCACTGTGATGTGTTGTTTTTCGGCCACATATGCCATTTTGCTTGTAGACCAATTTGTTTTATGTGACCAGAGCAAGTCATTGCATGCAATTCCTGCATCTGCAGCAAGGCTCTCGTAAAACCGAAAATAGGATTTCTAATTTTCAACAATGCCTTCCTTCTGCTCTCTCTTTCACACAGGATAGATATAAAAAAGTTAAAGGATCAGGAATTAGGGTGAGGCAATTGGCTCATTAGAGGCTAAACTTTGTTGTCCAACGAATGAGGCTCCTTTCTTGGTACTTATGGAGTCTCACATACCCTCATTCACCTAAACACACACTGCTGAAGCTGTAGGACCAGCGCTTCTCCAATAAGCCATCATCTCAGTTCGAATCTAACTTTAGAATAAGTTGAGCTGGGACGTTCATGAGTTCCTTAAAAGTAGTAGCTTCCTGTGGGTTACCACATTCATCTGGTCAGTAATCCCAAATAGCCGACTTTGTGTTCTTTTTAGCTACTCGCGCTTACATTTTGTTTATCTGTGGTCTAATTGTCTAATCATCCAAAGCATTTTTAAGCTGCTAAATCCAAACAAAGAACTGTGTGTTTATTCGGGGTATTTAATCTTACCGGGAGGTGTGCAGTTATCTATGGGAGACTGGACGAAGTATGAACGTCTCTTGGTCGGCATGGGCAATGCCATCTTCTCCTCTCTGTGTTTAGCCAGAGCCGCCTGCACAGCTTCTGTGTGGATGTCTAAACAGAAAGAATACACAGACAGAGACATTAAGACAAAATGGTGGATTAACAGCCCCACTTATGCTCGACTGTGTTTTGCAGAGTTTGTGAGGCAGCAGTGAGCTTTGCACCTGATCTGTAGCGCTCATCTCTGGCCCCTCCACTGCGATGTGCACGATGGTGTCGAGAGGCTGAGGAGGTGGAGGGGCCCGGGGCCTCAGGACTTGGGCTGGGATTGGCACTGTGGCTTGGGGAAGGCTGGACATCTGGCAGAGAAAGGTCCGCTTCTAGAAAATATGAGAGAGTGAAGGGCAGCAGTGAAAAAATATATATATAAAAGCTCAATTTCATTGTCAAACAGTTTCAAATAAATGTTGATTTATTTTTCTTGAAAGCTTTATTCTTGTGAATTATGGACACAAATAATTATTTAAAAAAATAAATTAAAAGTTGAGCCAAATGACAGATCATCATGACCCCTGATTAAACCAAAACAGCCCTGAATGACCTTTAGCTAATAATAGATTGTATTTATCAAGAATCAAATATTCCCTTCCAGAATATTTATTTCCAGAAAAATACAACAAATATGTTTAAGTCAAATGTAGACTTCTTTTGTAAGTACAATTTAGGACTTCTGGTGGTTTTTGAAGATGCTTTTATTTAAATAAAATGTGAATAAAAACTCACTGGCAAAGGGACTTAAACATTTACCGGTATATCAAAGAAACCTTATTATAGATTTGTTTGATAAAAGTTCAAAATATGTTAAATGTGACTTTAATGCCTTTTTGTATTATAATTTATTTGTATTTATATTACTTCATGTATTTCATCAGAAATTTATTGAAATAATTTATTTTTATTGATCTAAATGTGTTTTATTACCTTTACTTGTGTATGGTCATTTTTAATCAGTATTAGAAAATGACTAATTTAACACTTAATTTTAGACCGAGTATTGAACAACTGGGTATATTGAAGACATAAACTACATTTAAGAATTTAAATATAAATTATTTCCTTGCTCCAGACCTCTCAGAAACTAAATCTGCAAAAGTACAAAAAGGCAAATGAGTGAAGTGAACCTTGCTGTACACAGACAGGATGCACAGCCACTTTGCATAATACCATGGCAACGTGCAGGCAACAATAACACAGCTTCCATTGGTAATCGTCAGCAATGCATTATACACTTAAATAGAGTAGATCCAAGATAGGCTGTATAGTTTGAGAACAAAATCATTCTTGAGAGACATCTTGAGCAAAACAAAGTTAATTCTCAGGCAAACAAGGCTTTCTATTATTTGCACTGACATTAAACTCATACTGTAAACCCATACAACAGAAAACAACGGTCACTTTAAGAAATATGCTTCAAGTACTAGAGCACTGAAATTTAGATTCATATAGGTCTTCTCATTGCCTTTGGGCATGAATATTCAGCAAGAATTAGGTGGCAGCACAAGCTAAATGAGGCCAAGGAAGAACTAAAACGAAAAGCAAGTTCAGTGTTTCTCTTTAAACATGACATAGCTTACAATAAAGCATCAAATAAGGAATTTTTTTTCATGCTGCTGCTAATGTGGCGCAATTCTTCCTGAGGAAATGACACCCTTTTGAGCAGCAGCTAATAAAAGACATTTAGCAGATCGGATTTCGAATCAGCAAGTCTCATTGTAGCGTGAGGAAACTATGATCCAAAACCAACTTGAGATAAATGATTGAAATGTTGTGAACAATGGCAGCGTGATTAGGGCGGAGGTCTTTGACACATACCATGGCCTCCACAGAGGCTTTTAATAACCGGCACAGGAATGACCAGAGTTTTAAAACATAAATGGTAGCTTTTCTATGTTATCATGTGACAGCTGCAAACAATTTCCACATCTGAATGAAATTAATAGTACAGAGAAGCAAAACAATGCCACCAGGAAGCAAACTATGAAATTTTTTGTCCTTAATGTGGTGTGTTTCTTTGTTGAAAAAAATGTATTTATTTTTTTTTAACCACAACTTAGAAATAAATCTATGTGCTTATAAAAACTTAACATACTTGTTTTGTTTCGAGTCCCTCGAGAAATTTAATTTAATAGAAACAAAGACAAAAAGAAATGCTGATTTGGCTGTAGGCTTCTTAGCCTCCCTAATGTTCATATTAAAAATGCAGCTTCACTTTTGAACGCTAGGGGGCCACAGAAAACCAGAAATTCCTTTGGATTAAAAGAGAAAAGATTTAAAACACACAAGAAAGATTATTCTTTTATAAACTCAACATGAAAAACAATAAAGGTCGCTCTACGTAAACATATGTCACGTTTTAAGTAAACTACCATAACCTTTCAATTTGGGGAAATAAGTACTTGACGAGTTCACTTTGATGTAGTTGCATTAGGTTTTTGCCTCAAAAATAGCAAAGAGGTCATAAGACTTTGGAGGAAGGACATCTCAGATCTAAAATGAGAAATCGCAGAGAAAGAATGAAGAACCGGTCTTACTTGGCAGCTGAGGGATGTAGGAGGCCAGCAACTTGGCTCTTTTCTTTTCATAGCCCTTCTGTGTGATGTCACCTAGGAGAGAGGACAGCAACATCACACCGTCATGTTAGTCATAATTACCACGCAAACACCAGACAACTGCGCACACAGGCCACTCCTCTGATATACACACACACACACACACACACACACACACACACACACACACACACACACACACACACACACACACACACACACACACACACACACACACACACAAGAATTTTGCATTAGCTAACACATTTAAGCAGCTGAGTCATTTTATTAATCCTCTTTGAAGCAAATCTTCTGAACTCCACATGTTGCCAGCTAAGTCTAATTACAGCTATACAAAAAGATAACACCATTGTGAGGCTCTCTATTAGCCGCTATGAGCAAACATGATTAGAAAATGATCAGCTCCTCTAGGCAATGAAACCCAAACGTGATTCCAGAAGGTAGACGAGAACGATGACAGACCTGGGAGACTTGGAGAAAACGGAGCAAAACCTAAACATTGAGAAAGTGTCATTGGACCAGAACGAGAACTAAATCTGACCTTAACCAATAATCCAAGACCAACCTGCTTATGTTTATGATAACACCCTTCTATGCCCAGACTCAAAGTCAGCTGTTTTCAGCTCTTAGAGATGCAAGAAAACACTTCAAAATGTTGACCGGTAAACTTAAGACTTTCAGTTGGAGAGACGGCAAGACTGAAAGTACAACAAAATGATGCTGTTTTCTCTTTAAACTATTATCCTCTGTGTCATTCTGGATTTATGATGCCTTCCAGCTAAATTGGAAGTCAAAATTCTGAGTTGTTACCTTGGAATATCTTGCATCCAACTCAAACCTGGGTGTGAAGGATCACACACAAGAAAAATCCGGTACCCCAGATGATTGGGAAACACATTTTGTAGTGATGTCAATAATATTGCCATCAGATCTTAAATGGTCATCTATTTGTTGGCAGCCTTTTGGAAACCTCAAGAGGTAAAGAAAGGGTCTGCATTTTCTTGCATTTTCAAACAGAAATAGATTTTAAACTGATGTTCGGTAACACTGATCCTGTAAATCGCTAATATAAGACAACTTATTTTAGTCGAATGGAAAACATAAAAACAAAATATGATGTTTCATACAAGGTAGTTAACTAATCAGGAACACTATACAAAGTTACCACCAAGTCATGCTAAAGATACCCAAAATGTCAACTCTAACCACTTTTGTCTTAATATATGGAGGTAACTGGTTTCTCACACACACACAGCATGGCTTTGCTCCAAATGTAAATTGTTCAAAATTGTAACAAGAGACCCCAAGTCTTTTTTGGTCATCGTCCCAAATTTCTCGATTGTGCATCTCCGCCACAAAATTAGAGCATGCGAGGGAGTATCACAAACCGATTTGGTTATTTAGCTTTCTTCTTCCCTCCCTCTTTCGGCCTTGGGCTGTGCAAGATTCTCACAGCTGACTCAATCTAGTAGACAGAAACAGAAGCATGACAAGAGTCCACCTCTCTGGTACCCCAAAACACACAGCTTGCTTGTGTAGCAAACATGCAGGCAAACACGCCCTGCCCAGTTAACCAACACAAACCCCTTTAGGACAGACAAACAATCCCTATCCTCCAATCTCTATACCGGTGTTCTCCTCGCTTTGTCTTTAACTATACAAGGTGTCCCAATCCTCTGACACCTACTCCACAATGACTGGAGACCCTCATTCAGCCTGCTGAGAGGGGAAATAGTTTTCTCACCAGTTTCCAGAACCACATATCTACCAAGTCAGAGCTAGTTTGTGTGAGAGTGGGTGATAAACACATACTAAGGGCCACGGGTGGGGAAAGAAATGCAGCCTTGAGTGTTTGAAACGACAATGGAAAGAAAATAAGAGTGTAGAGTGCCAGAGTTCAGCAGACAAAATGCAGGGAGGTGGGATTTGTCAGGGCTCTATGGAGAGTCCCACACAGTGTTTATTCCCAAAGTTTTCATGTTACTATGAACAAGGGTTCAGAATTTGTCTGGAGAAACGTCAAAATCATAAAGGGAAAGCCCTTTGAGCTGAGTACATAGAATCCCAGTGTGAGGTAAGTCTGAGTTGTCCTGTAACTTTAGATTCTCTCTTAAAGGTTTCACAATACTGAAATCATAAGAAATAGAGGAAGAGGGAGTGACTGTTGTGGAGGGGGGCGAAAAAAAGGCAGACCGTTTCAGAGAGAGGGAGTGAGCAATTCAGTGCTTGGCTCTTTGTCATTCTCTTTAAAAACAAAAAAAAAGTTTTAAAAGGGAGGCCGGCATTCAGTTTGGTGTTTACCCTGGGGTGCACACACTCAGGAAGAAAACATGCCAACAACAGAGTGGGTTCCTAAAGTTTTAACCATGCTAGAGGTTGGTTGCGTGTTCAAACACATTCAGAGAATGAGCCATCTATCAGCAGCATATTGATCATAGCAGACTGGAGCATCAATGCTGTTCGAGACGAGGGTCAAACAAAGCCCAGATCTGTAGCTCAAGCGGCTTCATTTGGGGAGAAAAAAAAAAAGGAGGAATAGATGGAAAGACAGGGGGAAGACAGTCATTAACGCTGATAGAAGAGAGTCTTTGTTGCTGAGGCACAATAACAGGCACGGATTGGCACGGCCGCACTGGCTCTGCAGCTGACGGCGAGTATAAAGAAAACTGAAGGACTTTGGGCTGAAAGACTGACTGTAACAGCTGATTCCGAACAGAAGGAAAAAGCTGTGCGCGTTAAGAGTGAGAATGTGGGAGAATGAGCAAAACAGTACAGTAACTGTGCGCGTAAGTAATCCGAGGTCAGGGGACAGGATATGAACATTACCCCACCCAGTGAGCGCGCTGCCAAAAACCGTCTCCCTGTGCCTGTCTGGAGAATGAGGAATGTGCTGATTGGAAAAGCACCGAGTTGACGGTGACGGCCAACTGGCCAAGAGAGCCCGTTTGGTGGCCAACTAATTCCCCCGAGCCGCAGCAAAACCGGAGCGCATGAATGTGTGTATGCAGCTGGTGCAGGTTAAAGGTGCAACAAACCCAGAGGAATGAATGCTGATGCAGAGCAAAAAGGATGGTGGCGAACAAGCCTTTTCTGTGTCAGATGTGTGTCAGTATGTCAGCCTGACCCTGCTTAACATTTCCAGCCAAACTAGCAGTGGAGGGTCACATTTCTCAGACACACATATGTAATGACCAGATAATTAACTAGAAATGCGTTAATGGGCTTTTCCTGGTCAACAGAGATTCCTAATTTTCCTCTTCATTCCCCTATGTCATAAGCACAATGACATAGGGGAAATATTCTCTCAATACAGGTTTTTTTTTATCCTGCAAAAATGAAAGAACAAGATTATTTTACGCATTAAAGCTCAAAAAAGTTCATTAAGGTATATGCTGGTTGTTGCAATTAAAGTCAAAAATATGGTAGAAGTCTAGTCTAATTTTGATGTATTTAATGAAAATTAAACTGTTTCTTCCCCAACCCGATCACAAGAAAACCGCCTGATACTGAATCCAGCTACGTGCATCTACCAATCTATCTATCAAACTGGATTAAAAAATGTCTGATCGGTGGAGTGATGCTTTCTGAGCTCATATGAGGCGGCGCAGCGGTGACCTCTGGCTCCTCTTTTCAACTGCAGCTACTGACCTCTGACCTGAGGCCAGCTCAGAAAAAGGACTAATCTGCTCACAGCTGACCATACAAGGCCACAGAGCGGAGAGATGCAGCATCGATCCCAGTTACACCAACAAACAAAACCGGCTAAAACCATTTCACGAATGAAAGGTCTTTTGGGGTTTTTTTTCATAAACCCAGGGATCAATGTCCATCGCTAATTTGGCTCAATATTTTTGGAGATTAAATCAGCACTGAAACAGTACAAATCAGGTCTGGTATCAGATATTGATATTGCCAGTACGGCCAATAACTGATCGATGCCAAAATTATTTTCCGAGCCTTTCAACTGTAAAAGGCCCTGACTTTGCTGCTCTGCTTTAGGTAAACATCCCTCAATCCTGCACTGCTTCACTGCCGCATGCCCAAACAAATACAACGTGGCCAACCCCTTCACTTCCTGTGCCAGAACACACAAACGGCAACATGATGGAAATAAACATTGGCTTTTAACAGTGTTATTAACCCAGATCTGATGAGCATCTACGGTTAAACATTAACAACAACAATATGAAGTAAAAGACTATATAGTAAGGGCAAATTTACAATATAAGAAAAACAGAGTTAATAAAAACAACACACTCAGGTATGACAAGTATGATATGTGAATATTCGCACATGAAAAAAAAAACTCAAAATACTTTTGACAGAGATATAAAAACTGTGTAAATAGCGGCAGTGATGTTAATTTATTCAGTTTGTTGGGAGCAGCGATGGTCATAAAGTCTAACAGGTGCTGAGAGGACAGATTTACATAAACGCTCCTTTGTGCATTTAGGGCATCTATTGGAGCTGTTGTATCAGTTATTAATCATTACCTTGTTCTTGCTGCACACAATATGCACATCGCAAACAACAACCCGGACTGCAAAAAGTGCAAGCAAGCAAATGTCAGTATAATGGCGTGTAAAAAGTTAGAACTTTTTACATACGATTTCGCAAAAGGTTTGTGAAATCAGGAAGAAACAAGCTGTTTCAACACCCAAACAACAGATGTTATCAACTTTTCCCTAAAACCATGTTGTTGAGATGGATTTTTTCCACAGAACCTGAATAGATAGATCTCTTACTATCTGTGGTTTATTTTTGCCATTAACCAATACAAACATATTTTCCTTACTTTGTGCAGAAACTTTGTGTCAAAATATAACATAAAAACACCAATAAAACATGATTTTAAATTAATTTAGCGAGTTTAGCACTGTATAAAACAATGAGATACAAATCATTGCATTTGCAAAACTATTTATTACCAGTACATAAAGTACTTTCAAAATGTCTCAAATGGTTATCAGTAATAGTTTGCAGAAAAGATTTGGTATTTTTTCCGATCCGGTTCACAGCCAGAAGCCCCTCTA